GGTCTTTAAGGTCCCTTCCAACTCCTTGGCTTAGAGTTCCTAACAGGCCAGTCCAGAATAAGGAGAAAAATGTTGGGGTGGTGGTTTGTTTTGTTTTTTTTTTTTTTTTTAATTTTCTTCCTTTGTGGTCAGAAATCAGTAGGCTCGGATTTTAAGTAAATAGAAATCAGGTCAGCTTGTAAGGTGTTGTCAGCGATAGGTGAGCAGGCTTTACATGTAAAACCAGTAGAAATACTGAATCTTTTAGCTTTGATAGTAACCAAATCAGCTCAGCAGTGCAAAGTATAACTGTGAAATGACAATTGGAAAACACTTTGTTCATTTACTTTTGAAGACTCAGATTTATGTATATTGGATATTAATTGCTTCACGTTGTGTTTTCAAGGTTACAGATTACAGCTCAGTTAATATCAAAGTATCCCATGAGTCTTCCTGACAGTGAGCTACCTCCCTTACTCAATGTACTTCACCAGCTACTGCCTCAGCAGCGCCGAGGAGAAAGAATGCCTTATGTGCTGAAGTGTCTTACAGAGGTAGCTTTGTGCCAAAACCAGAAAACTGATTTGAAGAGCACCCACAAGTTGGAGCTCCAGAGAACCTGGGCAAAGATTTGGTCTCTTACCATTCGTAGCGTAAGTTTCCAGCAAATTGAAGTGGAAAGCTTTGGGCTACTTGGAGCTATGATTCAAGGAAGCCTTGTTGTAACAGATAAAGAACTCTGGAAGATATTTTCAGGATCTGCATGCAAACCTTCAAGGTAAAATGGGAAGCAAAGATAATATTTTGCGTCTGATTCACATTGCTCTTTGCTGTACAACCAAACCGACTGTATTATTTAAAATAGTGGTGGTGGTGTTGTGGCTGCATTTCTAGTTAAGAACTACCCACATTTGTGTTTTAAGCATTTGAAACGGGCATAAGTACATACATAAGTCTGAAAGCAGAGGCAGGAGAGGAGAGGCAAGCATCTTCGAATTTAAAATTAAATTATACTAAAAATGTAAAAGGGACTTAAGTTTAAAATGTGACTGAAAGAGATGTTGATTTTTTGAAGTTGAAATACGTGTTTTCTTATTAAATATATTATGATTCCAAAATGAGTGTTCTGAAACAGTCTCTAAAATAGACAGGAAATGTCTTCAATAGCCAAAATGTGGCTTTTGAAAATGCAAATATTCTGATAAATGAGTTTTCCAGTATGTATGTGTATTAACTTGCTCCCTGAGCATCAGAAGTAGCGACTTTGCTTTAGAGTCCTGATAGACAAATAGCCACGTTGTTTCTCACAAATGCCCTGTGTTCCTTTTTTATTACAGTTCTGCTGTATGCTGTTTATCATTAGTGATGTCTGCCTATTCAGTGCCAGAAAATTTGGATGTAGGAATGGAGCATAATAGTTGTGAAAGAAATCTGGGTTCTCTGTTAAAGGAGGCAGTGATGAAATGGGTACTGTCCTACTACATGGAGGAAGAAATGGAAGAATGTGCAGAGTTGCCTCCTGTGCTCTGCAGGTAAAGTCTTTCTGGCAGAGTTTTACCTGTGAGATTGCACTATAACACAGAAAATCGCACAGGGAAAAGTGAATTTGCAGGATTGTCTTATGTTGATGCTTTGGTAGAGTTTGTAAGGTTTTTAAGCTTACTGTAGAATGTCATTCCATGGAGATAATCTAGTTGTCTGTCCATAGCATAGCAGATATATGAACTACGTGTTAGAAATCGTAAGTGAAAGCATCTCCGTTGAAGATACAGTGTTAACCTGGTTAATGTTTGGGTGCACTTCAGGAATCCCAAGACCTTGATGCATTGCAGGAAATTACAAAACGTTTTTACAATTTTATTTTACAGTGACTTTCCCCATCTTGTATTACAAGAAATTCTCGTGAGCCTTACAATGAAGAACTGTAGAGCTGCCATGATTTTTTTCCAAAATGATGCTAAATGGTATGTTTTTAAATCTATCCTTATAGATATTTAAGCTTCTTATATTTGTCATTTTATCAAGCAGGGATAATGAAATACATAGTTACTCAAACTCTTTTGCATCTTTCAGACCCCATAAAAATCATAGATGCTAAGTAGAAAGTTGGCTTGATGCTTACTGTTCCTATATCCTTATTCCACTCCACCTCTGTGGCCCCAGCCACACGCTACTTGAGTCTGCTGGAGTCACCCTATGAATGCTCTTGCATCTTTCACTGATGCGTATGTTCCAGCTCTTGGACTATACCCAGTTTCCCCTTAATAAAACAAAAAGGTGTTTAACTTGTTCTGATGGAAGATAAGACTTTCCCACTAGAAGTTAAAAATACTAGTTTCAGGGGTTTTGTGAATTTCTGATCCAGTTGTGTAAAGTAGGTTGAGGTCAGCGATCTTAACACGAAGCACATGCTGCTGTGTGAACTATGGTAGAACATAGGATCTGTGCGCAAGCTTCGTTTTTCCTTGCATTTTCTTCAGAGAGCGCTAAAATGGTAGTATCAATTTCACAGTGAAATTCACCTCAGAAATTAATGATCAACCCAAGTTTGGAAGCACAGAACAATTAAATACTTTATTTTGCTTTCGTTTATCTCCTTATTTTAGTAGTAGTTTTAAAGACTTCTAAGTTGTATACTGGCTGCTAAAATAAAAATATGTCTCTTCTTTAAGTGTGCAACACTTGCAAAGGAAAGAAGAAAACAGTTTTTCTGATGTTGAAGAGCTGTATCTGCAGACAACTTTTGATGAAATGGATATTTTCACTAACTTTGCAGTAAATGTTGCAGATAACAAAGTGACTGGTTCAAGACTTGCCATCAACCAAAATCTTAGGGAAACACTAGAGTATTGTCTTTTAGCAATGTCAGAAAAGCTTTTAAGCAGCTATGCTCCCAAGGTGAGTTAGAAATTACTGTTACATCCGTGTATTTCTGCTCCCAAACAATAGTTTTTCAGGGCAAAGTATGTAGATTTTCATTCCCTTTGCTGCTAAAAATCAACCACAAGCATTTCAAAGAGTATATCCAATAATACAAAATAGAGATGTCTGTATTTCTTTACAGCATTGGAAAAATATCCACAGTTTTCATGTGTATGAAAGTATGTATGAATACGCAGAAGCTGGAACTGTGTGTAAAAGTAGTTCATGCTGTCTCTTGTCCTGGCAAGAGGTAAACTAGATAAACAGAGCATGTGGGAAGAGCTGGAAGTATCGCTATGGTGGAATCTAAATGAGAGAGAGAATTTAAAGTATTGTGAAGGAAGGAAGGAAGGCCATGGGACATCGGAGCATATAATAACATGGAGAGCCAAAAGGGCTTGTTAGGGAGCTGAGGCAACTGCAGTGCAAAAGACTAGGGTGCAAATCTTCATTATTTTTTGTGAAATCTGTATATAAAATGTTTTAAAAACATGTAAAGACTGTAAAGGATTCTGTGTTTTGGTGGAAAAGTTTAATGATAAACTACTGCTATTTATACTGTGTATTTGATTTAGTCTAAGGTGGTTGCTGCAGAACACCTTGTCCGATGCGTCAGTCTCTTGATTGGTGTTCTTGGTTGCTACTGCTACACTGGTATATTTAAAGAAGAGGATGCCTGTAAATCAAAGTTGTTCCAGAATGCTACGGTAAGCATCAATGCATTTGGGAGCCAGTGAAAATGAAATAAACCGCTATATAAAAAATAATTTCAAAAATTCAATTCATATTGACACATTTTCAGAGCATGAATATTTCCACTGGTTTCTGCTTAAAAAAAGGTGGTTGAGAGAGGTTTAAATATGTTAGTGCTGATGAAAGAGCAGAATAATTTAAAGTCTGTCACTACTCCAGTGCATAGGTTTTGCAGTGGAGTATTCTAAATATTGATATGTTTCTGAGTCACTCCTCTTAGAAAAACCGAAATAGTGTGGACAAAGGGCTACTTATTAGAGGATAGCAGGTAATTTCTTTATAGGTCTTCTATGCAGGAATTTATTAATATCATTTGATGGTTCATACCAGAAGAGAGCTCCTTTCATTATTATTACTACTACTACTATCTGACATGGCTTTTTGCTTAAATATGGAAACCAAAAACATGCACATTATGGAGAGATGCTGTATTTTTCTTTTGTGATGAAAATACCAATGTTTCAGGCAGGTCTAGGCCATCTTTCTGTCACTTCTGTAGCAGAATGAGTGGAACAAAAATCAAAGAAACAAAAAGGTCCAGAGTCCTTGATGCACACTATAAATACTGTATGAATGAGAATCGTGTCCTGTTTTCTCTGTGTGTGTACTGTGTATGTGCCAACATATAAAGGAATTTAATGGAGGTATTTTAACTGTGTTGGTTTTTTTCCTAGTCTCTCATTCATTATGTTGGAGAAAGTATTTCTCAGTCTAAAAACAAACTCAATGAAGATGCCCAGGTCAACTCACTGAGGACTTTGATAATGCAGTGTACAAAATGTTTATGCAGTTGTACCAAGGTAAAGTTTATAAAGGAATTTATATTTCTTTCTTCATTAATGAGATCACAAAGTTGAATATCATATATATGGTACGTGGAAAAAAAAAGGAATTAACCTATCTGTACATCTTGCTTTCTTACAGAACAGTGCTAATAAGATGCTGTCTAAAATATTCCTGCGTTTGTTAACATCAAAATTTATGAATGATCTCGTAGATATTTGCAAAAATCTTGTAAGTATGTTCTGTCTGTTTCTAAATGCAGCGCTTTTCTGCGAGACGATGGTTTTTACAGCATAATAATTTGGAGGCAAACCTAATGAGATACTTATTACTGAAAAAAAAAAAGAAAATACATTGAGTTTTATAGAGAATTCCTAACTGGAAACATTTCTATTTAGTGTTTGAACACAGGTGTAGGGGAAAAATGGGTGCAGATGGATAACATTTGATCCAGGTTAACATACCAGCTCACATTAAGAAACAAAGTATGTTATTTTGGGAATTTTTTAAATTCTGTATTAAAGTATTTACAGATTTTATGCCACAGAAGGTATTCCTATAACACATGACATTTAACTTTAACGCACTTGTAAAGTTTTAAAAGCTTTTTATTTTGTAGTTTGATAGGCTTACGTGCCTTAAAACACTTTAAATAGGTTTATTATGTAGGTATTAAGTCTTCTAACTGTAAAAGACTCTTCTTTCTCACTGTGAAAAGTAATAGGGTGGCACATCACTGTGTTTAGCACAACTCTTAAAACTTCTCTCTTTTTGGCACATTGTCCTGTAGTCAGGTCTAGGTAGGCAAAATCCTTTGTTTTTTTCAGGTGAGGAGCAGCTGAGAGTCTTATCTTCTGTTAACTGGCCATCTGGTAGGGAAAAGTGTGCCCTCACAAAGGTTGTGTGCCCTCACAAAGGTTGTGTGCCTTCCTTTAATTTCTCTGTAATTATGAAGTAGAGTGAGAAATTCATGAGTCCTGTAGAGAGAATTATTTTTCAAATATTAACAATGTCCTTGGCACCATCTAAAACACAGAGACTAGTATCTGTCTTAGGAAACTTGTATCCTAAAGAGAATAGTTCAAATCAAATAATTCACCTGTGTAGACGGCCGGTTTAGTATGAAATTCATCAATTCAGTGTAGCTCCTGCTGTCTTCACCCGTTCTAGGTCACTGGGAAACTTTAGTGTCTTTCCTTGTGTTATGTTGTAGTGTTTCTCCTGTCCTTAAAAGCCAACTTAAAAAGGATGTGGTGTTTTTGTCAGATGACATTTACTGGAAAACCCAGTGAACTGGATCTAACAGGGAATGATCCTGAGGAGAGTGTAATGGAAGTAGATAACCAATCATCTGATGATCTATTTGATGATCATTCAGTGACTGACGTCAGTGATACGAATGAATCTGGTGAGATGCAAAATGTAACAGGTAAGTCTTCCCTGTGTCCCAAACTATTAGCAAAAGTTTGTTTTTACAGGTTGCTCTTTGCTTGAAAGACAGTGAGATACAAAACTGCGCTGCTTTATTAGTAGCTGAAGCAGGTGATAGTTGAACCAGATATTTCTAAACAATAGTGATGCTTTTGTACCTCATTAGTGTTTTAAAGATGTTCATAGTGTGTTCTATGAACACATTTGGAAAGGAGAAGTTTATTTTTTTATTTTATAAACAGTAAAGTGCAAGCAGAGAAGCTAGCTGGCTTGTTCAAAGTCAGGCAGAAGTTTTGGCGAAGAAGAGCCTAGAAAATGTGTCTAGGATACCCGTCTCTGTCATTAGACTGTGGTTCCTTTTCTTAAAAGTAGTCCTATTTAACTTTTCTCCTTTTCCTGATCAGTGATTCTTGGCAAGGTCAGCTTTCTTATATCTCTGTACCTGCAGAGGGACAGGAGCATGAATCTGTCTGTTTATTTCTGTTAGGAGCTACAAGTACTGATGTCCTCTTGTCGTTTAAGTTCTTTCCTAAAATGACATGTATCTTAGTTTTTAATCAGGAGTATGTCTTCTGTTTAGTATCAAATGAGAAGGAAATCAGAGTGTTATATTAATGCCACAAACAACAGCTGGTCTGTTTTCCACATCATGTAGAAGTATCTTCTCCAACCATCTGATAAATAATTCTAATAAATTGGCAGTTGCAGAAAGTCACAGGAGTTCTAAATGTGACAGGAAAATGGCATTCGTAACTATTTTGCCTAGGTTATGACTGGTCATGCTAGGTTATAACATTTCAGTGAAGATATTAACATAATAGTCATTGTCATCACTTAAATTTTGGGGAAGCTTTGAATTTGTAGTTTAAAATACATCCTAAGTTACCATTAACAACACAAAAGAACACAGGTGGTTCTGCTGAGTTCATTGTAACCCTACTGGAGAAATCAGCCATATGTATGGGCACATAAAATTTAAAGCCTTTGTTTCAGAGGGAGCCTTTGTAGGAGTGGGAAACACGCTCAAGAAGCTGTTACTGATGAAGTAACTGCTCAGTAACAAACTTAAAGCTTGCTAGTACTCCGTCTATTCTGAGAAATTAGTTTTGTAAAGACCTAATATGTGACTAACAATTTTAACTGTCCTTTGAGAACCATTTCTCACACGAAAATCTTATTTTCAGGTGCTTTGAGCCCATTAGCTGAAGAACAGTTGACAAAGCAGGATTTACTTCTCCTTGAAATTCTGAGGTTCTTATGCATTTGTGTAGCTACAGTCCAAGTTCAGACAGTGAGCTTCCGAGCTTCTGATATACGGAGGAAGCTGTTAATGCTTACTGATGGCAGTGTCTTTGACAGTGCTAAGCCATTGCACCTGCACATGGTGAGTGTGAGCTTTCTTTACAGCAGACTCACCTCTGTATTTGTACTGATTTTAAATTTGCATATTCTTGCCCTTCTCTTGTCATCATTTACCTGAGAAGACATTAAAATGGCTAATCTTAGTGTTCTGAAGTTGTGCTTGGGGAAAGAGCAGTTACAATTTGTAAGCCAGAAAATAAAGAGAAGTATAAACATCTTGCCTTTATCATTAATTATTTGTTAAATAACTAGATCCTATTCTCTGTAGTAGAATAGGATCTGTGCTTTATCTTACAGAGGAAATACTTTTGACTGCCAAAACTCAGAATTTCCTGAGCCATATTACTGTGTGACAGTCTTTGCATGAAAAGGTGGTCAGTCTAATGTGTACGAGCTGACAATAGATATCCTTGCTGCATGATTTCATATAAAAGCTACTGAAAATGTTTTACAGTTTTTGTCTACTTATTTTCTTAAGTATTATTTTCTTTTTTTTTTTTAAATTCTCCAGTACTTGGTGCTTTTGAAGGAGCTCCCTCTTGAAGACGACCTCTTGCCTGAAGATGATGTTCTTATGCTCCTTAGGCCACTTTCGTAAGAGAGAAACTATTCAGCATGTATTAGAGCTATTTTAGTTCAACAACTAGAGGCTTTGAGGGCTGTTTACCATTTCATTATATTTTTTTTTCTTTCACAGTGCTGTGTGTTCTTTGTACCGTCGAGATCAAGAAGTTTGTAAAGTAATTCTAAATAATTTGCTTCCTATAGCAGTAGGGTTGGCCCAGTCTAACACACATGCTGAAGAGACACAGGATGCTCAAGGACAGTTTTTGACAGTTGTTGGAGCCTTTTGGTATGTTTTATCTATTTAATGCAGAAGTCTGTTGGACATAAAATTTTTAACTTTACTATCAGTGTGAATACCAGTGCTGTTGTGTGCCTTGCTCTTGGTATCCTGTGGTATCTTTATCCAGCATTTAACTTGCCAGATTTGGTGTGGTTTTTTTGTAGCAAAGAATCATACCGTTCTTAGGATACTACTAGAACAATAAATACTACACTGTTGTCCATTAGCAAAGACTGACTGTAGTCTGAATTACATCAGTAATTATAACAAGTGATAACTTCAGCAACCAAAAATGAATATGGGTTACAGTTGTAGATTTTCAATATCAACATCAAATTCTCCCAAACAGGTCTATTAAGCACAAAAGAATGAACTGTTAGCAGCAGAAACTAACCTGTTAGACTTTTTCTCAAAATGGTTGGCAACTTTGTCGTTTATTCAAATCTTCCTTATTTTAGGCATTTAGCTCAAGGAGGGAAGTGCACAGCACCAGTTAGAGTGGCTCTTTTGAACTGCATGAAAGCCCTGCTTGAGGTAATCCCAGATTTTTGGACACCCATTAGCATGTTAAGTATATATTTAAGGTGTACTTAAAACAGTATCTAAAGGTCTTTTGCATATATCAGTGTATATTCCATTGAAGGTCTTCTGTATATTTTAAACCACAATATTAATTTTCCTCAGGCTGATCCTCATTGCAAGTGGGCGATCCTTAATGTGATAAATAAAGATCTCCCTGTGAGTGATGCTTTCCCACATTTTCTCGCAGATAGTCACCATCAAGTTCGCATTCTTGCTGCAAAGTCGATTACCAGGTGATAATGTTGATCTTTTTTGTGTTTATAAGAACAACGCTAATTTCACTTAACTGGGTATTCCTTCTGCTACTCGTAGTTGCTCCTGTCAGTACTTCTGGGGCTTTAATCTTGGCAGAGTAGAAAAATCTACCAAAGTTACTTTGGTTAAGGTGTTCAAACTTGGTCTAAATTATTCTGTGATGTGAGTGCTTTATATATATAAAGAGAGAAAAAGAGTTGAACAATATATATATAAAAAAATATTAATGATAGCAAATTTTGCACTAAATTATTATGCAAAACTTGATTAGGAAATAGTTGTTTATCCTCCAGAAATAAATTAGGTACATTGTGTAGCATAAAAACTTTCAGGGATCTTGTGTCATGAATACTGTATATAGTTCTTTCTCCATGCATCCAAAAGGATGTAGTTGAACTGGAATAGGAGTAGAGGAGGGATGTTCAAAAGCATGAAACACTTTCTGCACAGCTCTTGGTTGCATAAACTGGAGCCATTCAACACAAATTGCTGAATTGCAGGAGGTATAACTCTACAAAATCTGTACTGGGACAAGGTGAGGATTGGCAGCCTTTTCCAGTTTAAGGCCTAGGAGATACCGAGTGAAGCTAACAGGTTTGAGATTCTAAGAAAATGTGGTTTATTTCTCCACACAACATTCAGTTATCCTTAGTGTTACTCTACTACCTTCAACTGTCTGGATGTTTACAGGGGTTCAAAAAGCAATGAATTAGCAAAAGAGGAAATCGTTGAAGGATACTAAATACAGTCACCACCTCTGAGTCATGATCTGCCTTGGTCACCTGTGGTCAGATGTTATATTCAAGGAATTATTATGCATACAAGGCAAGCATATGGTGACCTTTCTTAGGTACCTGCTAACAGTCACTTAGAAAGGCTAGAGTAAAAATTGAGCCAATCCACTGTGTTGTTCCCATTTTTGTTAAAAAGAGCGAAGTGGATTGGGCCTTTATCTACAAAAAATAAATTCTTTGAGAAACTCTTTTTATACATACATCTGTTGAGTAAATATATCCCCAAAGTACTTCATGACATGCAATGTTCCATTACAATGGACAGCTGAAGGTTGCCTTTCTGCACTGGCAGAGATTGGGAAACTGTTATATGTTTTCAGATTATTCTCCGCCATTTTGACCCAACAGATATTCGTAGTGTTATTGATAATGTTTGAGGGAGAGGAAGGAAAGATTGCTGTACAAGAAAGTTAAGAAGAAAATAGTGATAGTCAGACAATCAGAATCTTATTGTTTGATATGCACAATATGCAGTAATTCTGTAGACTAAATATTATGCTAATATTTATTGTTCTTTTTTTGAAGTTTATTTCAAGATGTGAAACAGAGGGATTCTTCTGGAATGTCAAAACCTCTTCCCTTGAAGCTCCAGCAAAAGGCTTTTGAGAATGCGTATCTCAGAGTTCAGGAAGGAATGAGAAATCTGGTACCAACCTCTAGTCATCCTAGTTTTCATGTTACAAATATGTTGAATTTTAAAACTAGCATGTTTAATTTTCTGAGAACATTTATTCTTCTGGAATTCTGATAATCTGAGGTGGTGAAACAAGAGGAAGTTCCTTACACATCCAGTCAGTCACTGTGTTGCTCTCATTAGGAGTTTGTGAACTTTTTCACTGTGTGTTCGAGACTGCTCTTCTGTATCATAGTATTTGTTGTTGAGGGCTTCAGTACTGTAACACTTAAGACTCAAAGAGAAATGGAGCCTCAATATTCTACACAGTATAGAAATAGTGTAAAGAGGCAGTGTAAATGAAAATTATGTGTTTACATAGTATAAAAACACATATATAAATTTCAGTAAGATCATGTTTCCAGTGGTATTCGACCAGTGGTTTTCACAAAGCCAAAATTTGCTTAAAAAGTTAATCTGTTCAGAATAAACTTTTAAGTAAAAGTTTCCAGTTCAGTGACAGGAAATGCAGTGGTGTGTATTACTGTGAGATTCCTTTAACTATTAATTTTTGTATTAGTGCCTTGCTCTTTTCCTCCTTCCTTGCTACTATACTAAGTCCATTTTCCATTTTTTTATCTGTCACGCTGTCATCTATCTGCATGTCATCTCCCTGCCACGTGTTCTCTGTGCTCCCTTTGCCTGCTGCCTGTCTTCTCATTTCATCTCCCTGCACTGTCACCACCAGCTCTGTCATTTCTCTGTTGCCTTGGCTCCCTGTTCTGCCACCTTGTCTTGCTGTTGTCTATTAGCTTCTACTCTTTCATTGCAGTTCCTGGTTACTTTATTCAATGTTCATCACTTGTCAGCATTGTGCCTTAGTAGGGGAAGACCTACATTTGAATTACAAGACAGTTCTTTCCTATATGCATCAGGGAGGGGCAAAAAGGAGACTTGCCTTGTCAATGCCTTCATCATATATCTGATTGTGTGCACTGTCTTTGTTTAAACTGCTGATACTGAACATGAACTCAAGTGTATGAGGTATTGGCATGTGTGGGGGTGTGCTGGAGGCAGTAACTTCTTGTTGAGGAGTGGAGTAGACAGCTGAGGAAGTAGTTTTTAAGCAACCAGAGGAAGATTTTCAGCAGTATTTATGTGAATGCCCTTAATTTCTAATTATTTATTAGATATTTATTTATTTATTTATTATTTTATTAATTAGGAGATTGCTTGGACAGAATATTTGTATGAGTTCATTATTTCTTACTGAAGGTCAGGGGTGATGCAAGTCCTGAAGATCTTTTGGACAAACAGTGTAATGGAAAAGCAGTTTTGCTGATGCTTATAACCATGGTTCTGTGCTGCAGTCCGGTCTGTGAAAAGCAAGCTTTGTTTGCTGTTTGCCAGTCCGTAAAAGAGAATGGATTAGAACCTCACCTTGTCAAAAAGGCAAGTATCAAATTCCATTTTATATGTAGGTTATACATTAAGGTTAGGTTAAAATTGGAACAGTACAAAAGGCTTTTGCCAGTATTGAAAGTTGTTAGATTTTGTAAAAGCGTGAGTAATGTGGCTTAAATATCTAAATGAATTTGTATTTGTATTTAATGACCTACGTAGAAATAATGACATCATAGAAGGCAGTTTTAATGGTTAATCTTGTATGTTAAAACACAGATCTGAAATACAAATAGATTTTTATACATTGAAGGTTGCAGATTTCATTTAAAAGATATATCTACCCAGTGGGAGTATAGTGAGTTTTCCAGTATAGAAATACGTGAAATAAATGCAGAGTATTGGAAGATGGTATTTGTCTTAGGGACTTTTATTTTGACATTCACATGGGCATACTGAAGTAGTTGCTGTTCATATGTCAGCCTTTCATGCCAGTCATTTTTATTATCCTTCCTTTCTGTTCCTTGCCTCTCTTTTTTTACACACAGTCTCTACGCCGCAGAATGTGTAGTGACTATTCTTTCTTTGCATACCACCTCAGATGGGGTAGTTGTAGTTCCTTGACTGAACTGTTTTGAGATACAACGATGCAAGTAATAAATTGCTTATGCTAAAGAGGAGCTGAGTTGTACAAATGCTCATTAAAAGGCTGGGAGTGGGGGGACATGGAGGTGTAGTACTGCCAGTTTGCCATAGCATCATGTGCTCTCCATGCTATTTCTGCAATCTTACCTCATGCACAGGTTTTGAAAAAAGTATCTGACATTTTCGGCTATAAAAGCATAGAAGACTTCATGACATCACATTTAGACTATTTGGTGATGGAGTGGCTGAAAATAAATGACAGCGGGTATAGCCTGTCTGCTTTTCCTTATGTTCTCCTGAACTATGCTAGCCTTGAGGAATTCTACAGGTAAGTTTGCTATATGAAACCAGTTTATTTAGATTTATTTACAATTATGACACAGGATTTCAACTTTCTAAATGTAGCAATGTATCAGTATTTTGTGGTAAGATAACATACTGAGAGCTCTTAAAATATATTCCAAATATCTTCTATATTATATTTATGCTGGTAAGATGTTTTTGTGTAGCATTAGCTAAACAATAACTGCAAGTTAGTGATACAGTGGAGGCATGGTGTTGCTATGTTATGCTTGAGAATTGTTAAAAAATCCAGTTCATGTTGGAAATGTATTTATTACATGTAGGTCCTGTTACAAAGTTCTGGTTCCACACCTGGTGATTAGAAGTCAATTTGAAGATGTGAAATCACTTGCCAACAAGATTGAAAAAGACTGGCGGCAGGTTCTAGCAGACTGTTTTCCAAAGATACTTGTGAATATCCTCCCATATTTTGCCTATCAAAGCCATGGAAAAGAAGTAGCAGAGCAAAGAGATACAGCGTCTAAAGTCTATGACATGCTAAAGGATGAAAACTGCTTAGGAAAACAGGTATTTGCTTTACATGTATATATGCAGTTCTATGGCTTTAACAGTCCTCAAAGAAACTTCTACATATTCTGTAAAAATTTAAATAGTTCAAGTTTTTAGGGACAAAATTATTATTTTGATAAAGACGAACTACCCAAATTTTTATCCCAAGGTTTTCAAGTAGCTATTCAATAGAAACTTTCAGGCAGACAGTTGACCTGAGGTGTATTTTTTTTCAGAATGTAATAACATTTTGTTTTACCATTCATTATACAACCCTGAGTTTCCCTGTTACACATCTGTTTGTCAGTCATGTTTTCCTCTTAAAATATGTTGTTAATTTTTTATGAGGAGCCATCATCCCCAGAGGCAGACTCTATATCCAGAACTAATAGTAAAATTAAATGTAATTTTTTTTCCAGATACTGTTGGTACGTAAATTGTGACAGCCATAGGTAAGACGCAACCAAGCTTAATTGCTGAATGTATGTTATGTCATGGATAATCAAACAAATAGAGAATCCAGACAGAAAAAAAGCGTCTTTCTCAGAAGGAAAAGAAATGTTAACTTATTTGAGCTAAAATATTTTTTCTTACTAAAACACTATTTTTTCTTCTTCTAGCAAATTGACACTTTATCTCATAATAACTTACCGGAGATTGTGGTCGAACTGCTGATGACCTTACATGAACCACCTGATGCTGCGGTAGAAGAAGGAGCTCATTTAAGTAAATATATAAGGTTCGTGCTTGTAGATTTCCTAAATGCCAAGAGTGTTTGTATAACATTGTGCATTAAAATGTGCCCTCCAGGCATAAGAAGAGGTGGCCTTGAAGTTGAGAATTAAAGGATTTTGTTGTCATTAGTAATGGTGTATTGTAGGCCTGCATTCTCACATAGTTATCCCCCAGTATCCGACAGGAGCAGCTCTGTCCTACTTCAGTTAATGGAAGCATGAGTGGCTGGGCAAGGGAATGCCATTGGATGTCGATGAGCTGGACTGTGGCAAGGCCAGTTTAGATTGATTCAAATTTGGATGGACTGCCCTCTCTGTAAAATTGGTCAGATTTTAATGTCAAAATTAAAGTGATGCTTTTAAAGGTTTTTAAATATTTAGAGGCCACTGAGGAATAAAGTGAACCATTTCTTAACAGTTCTTGTAGGGGTGGCTTTTGCTGTTGGTAAGGATATTGCTTAAACAGTGCCAAATAAACAAATTCCTAATTAATCAAAATATTCTAATGTGACAAGTACCTTCTTATTTATGATCTTCTCAGTCTTCGTTGTTGTCTTAAAAATAGGACTATTTGCATAATTATATGTGGAAATAATTTTCCAGATTTTTATGTTTACGTGCAAACTATTTGGAAAAATATTACACTTTCTGAAGTTCATAGAATCATAGAATCATAGAATGGTTAGGGTTGGAAGGGACCTTAAAGATCATCTAGTTCCAACCCTAACCATTGAAGTTATTGAAGGAGATATTTTTGTTGTCAAAATATAAATTTGAAAGAAACCAAAGCATTTCTGTGAATATCTGTCAAAAATGGCTGAGGGTTTCAAAACTTTACAGAAGAAATTTCAGTGAGTTTATTAACAGACTCTGGTGTCTGCTTGTAACCAAAGTTTTTCTTTCTAAGAAGGGAATGGCAAGATTAAAGGTCATGAAACTTAGTTTTTGCTGTTTTATTAATATCATGATGCACTTCTTTTCTTTTTGAGAACCCGTAAAATTGACTACCCTTTTTTTATAATGGAGAGTATCATCATTACTTTTTTCTTCACTAGATTGTTCCCATCATTACACAATGCAGAAGCTTTATCTGTGACTTGCAATTTGATTTTCTGACAGAGTACCTTAGATGAGACAAATGTGTGGGCTTATAGCAATATGATCTTTCAAAAAATAATAAAAGAATGTTAAGAAACTACAACTGAGAAAGCTGCCATAGAGGGACAACAGACAGCTAAAATTAAGATGTGTGTCATTCTGCTGGATGCTTTTGGTGCTTCTTGCTTACTGAACACAGAAAAGATTTCCTAGGACTCGTGTTTTTTTTAAGGAGCCTTATTTTATTTTATATATGGTGTTCTGTTTTGGGGAAGAAAACCAAAATATCTTTTTTATTTGTTTAGGGAACTGGATCCTGCTCCTAATCCTCCTCATTTTCCATCTTACGTGATTAAGGCAACCTTGGACTATATTAGCAACTGTCATAAAAGCAAGTTAAAAAGTCTTGTAGCAGTTCTTTCTAAAAACCCTGTAAGTATGTACTGATGATTTTGATTTTCTTTTTCTGTAGAAGAGAAAATTCATTTTATGGGTACGTTTTGGTCTAAATGGACATTTTAGTCAGGTATATATGAAGAAAAAATACAGTCTTAGAAACCTTTCTGTGCTTCTGTTTGCCTTCTGAAATGGAAGAAGTCCTCAGTTCAGGGTAACAGTAACCTTACAAGAATTGCATACTTGAACTGTTACGTACATTAGGTAATACCTATGTAATAACTTTTAACTAGAGAGGATTGTTTTAAAGGTTGAGGAAATCTGTGTGTACCAGACACAGTTCAGGTGCGATTTATTTCTTTGGCATATGTCTGAAAAACTTTCTAAAATAACTATATTTCGATAATTTTATCTAAATCCTGTCCCCATTTCAGGGATCAAAGCTTGCTTCTCTTACTGAGAGTGTGAAATTGTAGTGTCTCTGATATTTTTAGACATTTGACTTTGAGTTATTAAAGGAAAATATGAAAGCATATAAATTTATGCAGCCCTTGCAATAAGTTATAAACATATTACTGTCTTGTAGCTCATTCCTTAGAAATGTATATTTTCAAAATTTGTGCTGTTTTATCACATATGTTGCAAAAACTTAATTTGCCCATCCATAAACAGTCTAAAAATAAGAATTTTCTTTTCTAGACCATGTTTGTCTAAGTGTTTTGAGTATAAAAGTTAATATTGCTAGCCAGTGGAGTAAATGCTTTAAAATGTAACACAACCTGCCTAGTACTTTAACAAAGTTACTTTTTTTTTTCAGTTTACAGTTTTAACAGTTAAATCTCTATTGATACATTCTCTGAAATAGTGCATTTTATACATATGAACATTATTTTTGAAATAATATAGATTGAGACAACTGCTTGATGTTTTAATGGTTTTTTTGATGTTTCTTCTGTTACTGAAAACTGCTGTGTTTTGTTTTCTGAAAAAATGCATAATTTTCTCATGTTGGAGGAAACAGGAAAAAAGATTAGGAGGTGTGGGGTTTATAGTCCTGCTTGGAGAATTGGTTTCTGTGTAGGTCTTTTTTGTGTTTAAATCAGTAAAAATAGTAAAGCCTTTATGTCCAAGTCCTTTAAAACAATGTTTATCTCTATCACCTACGTTTTTTCTTGATATAAAGTTTATCTGTATTGGCACGACAGTTTTTTTAACTCATAGTTTATTCACTTTAGGATTCATTCCAGAAAATCCTTCTATCCCTTTGTAAACATGCATCAGATACAAACAACATTTACAAGAAACACAGAGTTCTTACCATTTATCACTTGTTTGTTAGTCTGTTACTTAAAGAGATAAAAGATGGGTTAGGAGGAGCATGGGCTTTTGTCCTCCGAGATGTAATTTACACGTTGATTCACCACATCAATAGCAGGTAAATATGGTAATTATATCTTGTACTTCCTGTCTGTGCTTCCTTGTTCTTGTAACTTTGCATTTCAGTATCGCTAATAGATGTTAATTTATTTGTAGAAATTATTTATATTTGCTGAAAGAAACAATTAAATTGCATTTCTGTCATAATTTTGGAATTTACAGCTCTTACTAAAATGTGAAATGTTTTGTGCTGTCCTTGTATGTAAATGTTATTAGGCTATTGAATTTCAGAAATGTGTTGGGAGATTTTGATGACAGAAAAGGTGTTTGGGAATTCAAAGGACCTACCCGAGTTATGATGTGCTCCAGGGCTGTCAGGGCATGATTAGTCATCCCCGCTCTCGTTTCAGGCCACTGAGTTCCTGGTAGTGGTCAGTGCCATTCCCCACCTTAGCTACACAAGAGTGCTTTTATGATCAAAGGACATATAACCCCCAAACTCACTGCACAAAAGCCAGGGCTTGATGGGGATTCTTAAGACCATAGAGCGGTCCAGGAGCTGGTTAGGTAGGAAATGCACCACCACGCCTAAATATATATATTTTTTTAGCTAATGGTTATGTGAGTGGGCATATTTCCCACTTGGTTTCTCTCAACATTGTTCTGGCAAATATTCTAAAAGCCTTTTTGGTAGGTTTTGGGGATTTTTTTTTCCTTTTTGGACTATATTTTTCTTTAGCTTTTTTTACTCCATTTTTTAAAGTGATCAGTCAAATGTGTGGTTTACTTCTCGTGTGTCTCCTGAGCTAAATATTTACTTTAGAGCTGATTGAAGTGTAGAATCAGTTCTTCTTATAGTTTATTTTTATTTCCCCTTTCCCTATTCTTCCTTGTTGTATAACAGATTAATATGTGAGACAATGACAATTTGTATTTCTTTGATTTCCCTTTTTTGTTTCCTGTGACAGACCTGTTGTTATCAGAGACATAACCATGCGAAGCTTTTCGCTCTGTTGTGATCTTCTTCATCATGTGTGCCACACAGCGGTTACGTGTTGCAATGATGCTCTAGAGAGCCACCTTCATGTTATTGTAGGAACCCTAATACCTCTTGCCGTGGAGCAGCCAGAGATTCAGGAGCAGGTAGTTTTGAGTTACTGCTTATTCCTTATCTGTTAGTCTTTAAGTTGGTATTCACTGTTGTTAAAGGTTGTGCTGGGTTTAGTCAGGAAAGAGTTAACCGTCTTTACAGTAGCTGGTATATCTGTACTCATGTTCAATTTAAATTCCTTTTTTCTATGCTTTCTAGATACATATAAAAAATATTACTTTGGGATGTAACACTATCTACCTTTATTATTTTTAAATAAAGGTGTCTTTACTTTTGCTACCAGTATTTTGACAAATACTGTGTTCTGTATTTAATTCCTATGGCTTTAAGCAGTGATTGAGATGCATTTGTATCATAATTGCTGAGATTACTGTATCACTTTTTAATTCTCGATTTACTTAAGTCTATAAAAAATCAGATTTCTTAAAGGATTTTAATGCTGTTGTAATATCTTTTATGTCTGCTTTGAATCTCTGCACTTTTTTCAGAAAAATCTGAAAGAGGTTTGAAACCTTCAGGGAAGTTTCAGAAAAACTGTGACCTTAGCTGAGCAGAGACACCAAATCAGTGGTTCCACTAAGGAAAAGAGTGAGAACACAAACATTGCTAAAATACTGGTGACAGCAAGCTGATCGGTACATTGGGTAGCCAGTTACCTACAGAGCTCTGTGGATGATTTCACAGAACATACAGTGAAGACCTGTGGAAGGGGAAGGTGTCTAGAGGACAAAGAGGAGGAATATGTGCAAAGAACAGATTTCAGTAGTTCAGCTATTTATTTAAGAAATTACCCTTAAAAACAAATGTAACGCATAGGCCTTGAAAGGGAAATGAAGCCATTTCAGTTACATGACAAGCTTGTTTTGGTCCTGGTGATGATATATAAGCACATTCTGCTACAGGTAGAAATACGCTTAGAATCAGAGACTTACAATGAGTAGCTGAAGGTGAGAAGAGTATGTTTGTTGCACTTCAGTCCTCCTGGTTGCCTCCTGGTTGCATCCCAACGAAGAGAAAGTTGG